CCCTACCATTTAACCTTCATGCATTGAAGTCAGCGGCACTGTACGTAGTTTTATTGTCATTCTTGGTAAGAACTTAAACTCTGGCCTGATAGAGACAAGAGGCCATTAATTTGAGGGGTACATTGCTTCTGTATACTTCTTTATATATTATATATTATCCGAGAGGCATTTTCTTAATTGTTTGCAAATCTTGCCAGCAAATCGTCTTCATTCATTCAAAAAGTAATTTCTCCCTGTCCTTCTGTCAGTAGATACAAACGAAAAATTTTAGAACGTTGGGATAATATGTAGCCTATCCCCAATAGGCCTTTCTGTCAGAATAACCCTAAATAATTCAGCTGCCATATCCACAAATTCAAACCGTAATTGGATGCAGAATCAGATGTTACGTTTATAGCCGCCCAGCTGAACAATTGGCGCTCTTGTTTGATGATTTCTGCACTTAGTGGGTGACGGGACAACAGTAGTTGTACAAACGGCAAGGAATGAGTATCTGCGGTTAATTTGCCACTTTTCTTTGCCCGTTTTCCCTCGCGAATTCTGAGAAGGAAAAAAAGTTATTTTTTCAATCATGGAACTGTTATTAAATGAATAGAAAGAATGTTTGTTGTTTTTATGACCTCATTATTCTGCATCACTCTTATTAGCCTCATTATCCGTGAAAGTACAGATTGCATTACAGCTAACGAGCCGTTTCTAATGAAGCCTTGTGATCTAAAATTTAGCTTATCATGTTAATTTATTAACGGATTAGCTGAAGGTGACAATCTACAACGAGCTTTTGAACCTTGAAATGTTAGTGTAGTCATTATTTCGCAATATTCTGCCATTAGCAGGCTACCGCCAAACCAGCAGCATTACGTATTTCTGTTATCTTGCTTGTGGCTGACATATAACATGTTTTGCTTGAGAAGCTAAACAAGGCATACATGCTCAAGTGCTTTAGGAGTGAAACTGATCTTGCAGATTCTGCACCGGCTACTGAACATTTTTTTTGGGGGGGGGGTGATTTCAAATAGCAGATACGTCAACATCTGCGAGCAGCCAGAGCATCAGAATGTAACAAGCTTGCCACCTTCAGAAAATAGCTTTATTCCCCCTCTAGTCAGATCAACTGCAAGCTACGGGAATA